GTGTACCTCTGGTGCAAATTACTGACCTCTGTCATCATTTTAAGTGGGGGAACTTGCACAATCGGTGGCTGACTAAATACTTTTTTGCCCCACTGTATATTGTCCTGAAATAAGACCCAAGTGGACACTGACTGGTAGTGGCAACCTCTGGGGCTAATGTGGAAGTGCCGAAAACTGTAGTAGCCACTTGAGGCGGGGCCCACACAATTTTTACATCCCAAAAATTTTTACTCTCTAAAGCTACTTTTGCAATTATGCAATTATATCAAAATTAATATGGCTTGCCGTATAATCAGCTATCTAACAGACAATCTAATAAGTGTTTGCTCCAGTGGAAAACTGCATTTCCTTTCATTTGTATGTCACTTAATGCTAAAAAGCAGGCATCTGTTTGTGCAATGCACTCATCCAGGCTCACTAGCAATAGCTCATAAGCACTTCATCCTGTTGTTCAAATATGATTACAACGCCCTGCAAAAAACAAAAAGAAGGTGGAGGAGATTATGCAAAGGGCTTCAACAGTGAGAATAAAAAAACAAAACAACAACAACAACAACAAAAAGCCCACCTTCAACCATCTTTTATATACAGTCTAGATTTTTCACAAATTCACCCCCACCCCTGAAATTTTCTCAACATTATCACAATGAGCTTTATGCAAGATCACATATAACCAATGCAGTTAGATCATACGCTAAGTAGTCTTTACTTTCAGTCCATGCAACATTCTGCCCACGTAATAGCAACATTAAATGTCAGAAGAATTCACAGCAACTCTGTGGGCACGCCTTACCCAGGCAGCACTCTTACATAAACCTGCTTTGTGACAAAAAGCAAATGAATACAATGTTTTGACTGCCCAGAGGTATTATTATAGGCAGAGATACTCAGGTTACAAGTTTGGGAATGCATGTTGTAACTTTTCATCTTTTATGCCAAACCCTTCATAAACTATTTATAAACATTTAAAAAACAAAAACACATCCATGAATACTTTTCGAAATGCACGTTGATTTGAACTTCAGGAAACCTTCACAACCTACCACTACCTCCTGCAGTGAATATTCCCCTTTCTGTTTCTTTATACCCTTCAAAAGAAGCAATGTTCTGGTCGCCATAATTTGTCACAGGAAGCCCCTTGCGGCTTCACTACACCAGCTTTAACCTCTTAAAATAGGTTTTCCGTCAGAAGGAGAGCAAGAGAGGAGAGTAATGGAGAACCCCGAGGCGGTACATGCCTTTAACAACTACATTTGTGTTAAAGGACGAGACAAAAATGGCAGCAAAAGCACTGGATGGGATCAGAAAGTTGTTTTTTCCAAATGAACTTCAACAATGTTGCGATAATCGGGTCCAGGCATTGTCTAAAGTTGGATTTTCTCACAAGTAGAACACAATGGGAGATTTTGTTTTCACTACTTGAAACACTTCACATGGTTTAGCTGAGAGGTGGTGCCTAGGTAGAGCATGTAAGAGGCAGGACACATGACGTCCATTCGCTTGCACTGAACTCTCTGGACAACTGGTCTATTCACAGATTCACACGGGCTCTTTCTGACATTACAAAGACTTTGTACTAGAGATGGCAGCAGGTGCTGTCACACACACCTTCTCTGCGTGGTGTCTGGAAAAGTTCAGTGCTGTGTTTCCTTTTTTAATTGCTCTAACAATTTATTTGACCTTTTACACAAGATTCTACTTCTTCTACTAAGTTCAGCAAAATAAGCTGAACTTTTTTTTCCCCCCGGAAAGTCGCATTAGACCACTGTAGGTTATGTGGTGCTGTGTATTTCAACATCAGATGGTAAGTGTGAGGCTCTGTGCAGGCATCTAGGCAAACCAAACGACGACTCGGCCATGGACTTCCTGTCTGTGTATGCAGCAGATTATACTCCTCGATTAGATGAACTGCACAAAGACAACAGCCTTATGTGGTGGAGTGGTTAGCACTGTCGCCTCACATCAACAAAGTCTCTGGTTTGAACCTTTGTGGGTTTTCCTCTGGGTACTCCTGCTTCCTTCCACATCCTAAAGACATGCATGTAAGGTTCACTGGTAAATCTAAATTGGCCGTGGTTGTCGGGTTAATAAAGTGCTTAAAGTGAGTAGAATAAAGTGCTATATGAATGTATTGTTAAGATGTGGCAGGGAGTTTAAAGCACTTTAGTGATGCTTTATACTGTCAGTCCTTCTTTCCTTCACTGATATCAGAGATAAATTAGATCATCTCCTGTGAAACTGGAAGTACGGCAAAGTTGCATAAGCTCTTTGGGAGGGCACGAAAAACACTTTTTGCTCGATTGACATCATTTAAGTTTACAAGACTTGTTTTCTTCTCATTGTATCTCCACAGTTTTAAGTCTACAACCATTCTACCGCGTGATATCTGTGAGGCTAAACAAGAAAGGAAGGAAGCAACATTAGACTGCTAAAACAACAGAGCCCTATGTTGTGGACCAATTCAAGAATACATACTAATTCCAAATCGTGTTTTTACTGGAATCGGCAGTAGCTTCCTTACATTGTTTATCAGACCGTGTCTGTGAGTTTTGCCCCTTTTTCTCCTAAATTTTTACATTATTGGTAGATTATTTTTCTTCTGATAAGGCTGGCTGACAAACAGATATGCTACAAAGATTAGACATAGCACACATTTATCGATATCTGCACACGGTGTTCAGTTGGTACTAAAATGTGGAAACATAACCCCCTGCCAAATAGAAATGCAAATGAACAAGGGTATTGTACCTTTGAATCCTTCCTCGTCAAGGACAACTGTGTAGTTCTCTGGAGTCTCAGTCAGACTAAAGAACTTGCATCTGAAACAGGAGAGGAGGCACAAAAAAAAAGAAAAAAAGAAAGAAAAGTAGGAGATGAGAAGAAGGGTAAGAGAAACAGGAAAAAAGGCCATGTTATTCATTTGCAACCAACAAAAGGAGGTTCAATATATTCATTTAACAAGTAAATGCAATTTTTCACCAATATGTACATAGGGTTTCAGGACTGGATGTCCCTTAATTGGCACAAGCCTAAAGCTCTATATTATGCTTCTATCACTCCATTGTCTATAGCAAATGGAGGGGAAACATACCAAACTGGGGCACTGCTTTGGCTGACAAACGCTCCTTTCAAATAATGTCTGGGCAGCACAGTTTAAAAGGAGATATATGAGCTTATAAAAGTCACTAGATTGTTTATACACATCTATAATTAAATCTGTTTTTCAAAACTGGATGAACCATAGGCAATGGTTTACATCTTTATGGTCTTCTTGAAGCTTGTTTTTTTTTAAAAAGTGTCAGTTTCATTAAATGGTGGTGTAAAACAGTGTCGTTTTGCCTGCTGATACAGCCCAACAGGGTTAACAATTTATGAAGAAAAGAGCAGCTGATATGAAACAAGACAGAACATTGATGACAATTTATTGTAATCTCTTCACCAAGCTTTGAGCTATTTGTTGTAAAAAGGCAGACTCAGTGGCTCATGTTCAGTCCTACTGAATGGTGTCTCTGTGAAGAAAAAAAACAAAAAAAAAACACTAGGCCAATAGGATTTTGTGTGGTTTGACAGAGGGAAAAAAAAACTCAACAATCTGGTAAATGGACTGGTTCTTATATAGCGCTTTTCTACTCTTCCTGAGCACTCAAAGCGCTTCACACTACATTCAGTCATTCACCCATTCACACACACATTCATACTCCGATGGATGCATCGGAGAGCAATTTGGGGTTAGTATCTTGCCCAAGGATATTTGGCATGCAGACTGGGGAAGCCAGGGATCGAACCACCAACCTTCCGATCAGTAGATGACCTGCTCTACCACCTGAGCTACAGCCACCCTGGTACGTTCTCAAAGAACATACAAGTAAAGAATACAAAGGGAAGCTGATAGAACTGATCTGTGCATAACTCTGTCTATTGTCTACTTAAACATTAATATGAACTTTGACAAAACAAAGCAGGGTTTAGTTTTTCACTGGCCAGACTAGACTTAAGATTTGCACTTCTTTAAAAAAGAAAAACAGCCACAGTTCACACTTCTAATGTGTTGAGTTTAAACTGTTGTCATTTTGTTTCATATCTGGTGCCATTCTGGACTGGAGGGCTTCTAACACTTACAATCAAACATTTCTGAAGTCAAGCTTGACTTGGGGGTGGAAACACAGGTAGCCTGGCTCTGTCCTTCAAAGCTCAGCTGATGATGTTTGTCTCACAGAATGTAATGTGATAGTAAACACTGTCTTCTACGCTGCTATAGATAAACTTGAAACTTCATACTGAAGAGCCAAATCTTGGCATATATATTTACCAACCATTTTATTAGGTACACCTTTTCAATTGCTAATCAACACAAATGTCTAATTAGCCAATAATTTGGTAGTAAGTGTGTGCATTTAGCAATGTCATCAAGTTCAAACAGAGCACAAGATTGGTGATTTATGGGATTTTAAATGTGAATATTTCAGAAACTGCTGATCTACAGGAATTTTCCCACAACGCTCTCTCCCAGAAAAAAATAAGAAAATATCCAGTGAGTGGTAGTTCTTTGGATGAATAATGCCATAATTTGGTGTAAACAACATGAAAGCATGGATTCATCCTGCCTTTTATCAACAATTCAGGCTCATGATGTTGGTGTAATGGTGTGGAGAGTGTTTTCTTGGCACCCTTTGGGCCCCTCTACTACCAACTGAACATCATTTAAAAACCACAGCCTACCTAAATATTGTTGCTCATCATGTCCATCCTTCTATGACCACCAAAGCTCAAATAATCTCAGACTCGTTTCTTGAAAACTGAGGTCACTGTACTCAAATGGCCTCCACGTTCACCAGATCTCAATGCAACAGAGAGCTCTGGAATGTGGTAGAACAGGAAGTTCACATCATGGATGTACAGCTAGCAAATCTGCAGCAACTGTATGATGTTATCATGTCACAATATGGACAGAAATCTGAGGAATGCTTCCAGCAGTTCTGAAGGCAAAAGGAACAAAGAGGTATACCCAATGAAGTGCCCTATGAGTATACAAAGCAACAAAGGATTAGGGATTGATATTGCTGGAATTTCATTAAACACCAATATTATTACTGATTCTTCTTCATAACACTGATTTTTTGAAGTCAATATTTGGTCCCTATTTAATGTCCTGTGTTGAAAAAACAAAAACAAAACAACAAAAGCACATGGCAGACCAAAGCAACTGATCAATGACCTAAAAAAAACAAAAACTTCAGGTGTGCAAATTCCACTGCCACAGGTTGAAAGCCTATGATTTAGATGGACTGGCAATTATGGAACCAGATTTTAGCTAGAACTAGTTAATACTTATACCCTTGAGAGGAGATATCTGCTAATAACTGGTGGATTAACAATGGGGGATAATAAATGTTTTGCCAGAAAGAAGTCAGGCAGGGGCCTCATTAGCGAGTGTTTTTATTTTTAGTGATGGAGAACCTAAAAGCAGTTTCTAAATCGAAGATCTCTTTGTTTCATTTGAAACCCTAACAAGGAAGTGCGATATTCCTGTATTCTTACAATGTCGCTGAAGATACATTCCTCTTCCTCTGCTTATCAGTCAGCTTAGACTACTACAGCCAAAACCTGAGAGAGACAGTCTAACTCCTGAGTCAGCAAAAAGTAATCCCTGGCATGAAATGGGACAATCACGCCACATAGACAAAGAGAGAGGCAGAGAGAATGCTGTTAACAGTAACTACCGGCTTTGCTAGCAAGCTCAGCCAGCCAATTGTGTTACAATACATCTCTCATTTCCTGTTGACCCCTCACCTTCCCTAGCAAGCAGTTTCCTGCAGCTAGTGTATGTCAAGCAGCTTTCCTGCAAGTAAAAACGGCAACGTTTAGTGCACAAATGAATGTGCTGTGTCGTTTGGAGCAGAGGGTGAAGACTGACTTTGTACATCCAAGTAAGCCACAGCTCAGCAACATTCTGACAGTTTGAGGAAACTATCTGGGAAACAAGTGTGCATATTTGGTTTCCTGTTTGCAAAGTACATGCAAGACAGATGTTTCACCTATAGATCTATGCATTATAATGCACTATGAAGAAAGCTGGAAAACCATTTGCACTGCATTGTTTTTGCAGTCACATGAAGACTGCAGAACTGCAGTCAGTACAGCCAAGCCAACTTCTTATGAAGTCAAAAGGAAGATCCAATTTGACGTCTACTGTTGTAGAAAAAGTAAAAAGTATATTTTCTTTCAGCTTCCTTCAAAGAATAAATCTGCTCAACAAAAAGAGTTATTGCTGTTCATAACTTGGTGGACACCAGTGGCACAGATGCATTTGCAGGCTTGCAACTGTAGATTCAGGCAAAGAATCTACAGTGGCAAAGCAAAGTCAGTGACCCAAACATGTTTTGTACAGCACCCAGTAACATGGGTTGGAAAAATAAGCTTCTGTTGAAGTAGAAGGAACACTGAGAGAAGGAGATGAAAATAACTAGAAGAGATGAGGAAGCAACGGGTAGCGAGGGAGCGGCCAAGTGGGGAAGATGAAAACCAAGCACACAAGAGGTTGGACTTTGATCCAGCTGCACAAAACAACGGGTGGTAGCAGCACTTAGGGAGTGAGGGCTGGTCACGGCACTGGGCCTGCAACTGATGCTCCAGCTGAGAAAACATGATAAGCACACAGAAAACTGATGCTCAAGGGCGAGGAATGAGCCTCAAGTCCTATGATCACAGCACGACAAGTTGTCTACTACCATAGCAACTTATGAAAACAAGATTCTTAGTTTTCTCTCAGGCTTCCTTTTCCCCCTCCCCCCCAGTTTCATAAAGGCGGGTGGGTACAGGGTGTGGGAAGTCCTCTGTAAACAGGAGGAGCGGGAGCCCCAACCTTGACGGATCACTGAAGCAGACAAGTGGAAAACTCCCAACCGGGTTTCTGGCTCGGCTGAAGTATTGTTCCAACCCATGCTCTTGTTAGTTAGCCACCAAAGAGAAGAAAGGAGGACTGTGTGGAGCCTGCGGGGCTACATCCACAATTCAGGAAGAACAATATATTGAGCTGATGCTGAGCGTTGTTTATTACTCTACCTACAAAGTGTAAACAACTACTAAAGACAAAACCAGAATACTAATAAGACTAGAATGGCTTAGAAGCCCAAGGTGCACATTTTTTCAGCCATTCTAGGAGAATTCACTGATAACTTAGATATTTTAAATTCTGCAAAACAGAGTATTTGACATTTATGTTTAAGTTGGTAATGACGGTGACATTTACAGAGTAATATTGTAGCTGATAGTGCACACTTTATTCCATCATATGAATATTTCTTTGTAGACAAGGCAAAAGTGTTCCTTTCACTACTTTTAGCCTCTGCACTATAGACATAGTAAGCCCCAGCGCTAATGGACGCTGAAGAAAAATCCACTATGCCACATGTGATTACCTCCTTAAAATTCTGCTCAGAGCTGCGTTCAAATCGCTTTGCACAGGGAGTTGTTCACAAATGAATAGCAGAGGCCTGAAAAAGGGAGATGGCTAAAAGTGTCCCGGAGCAATCAGGCTTGTTTTTGCTCCCCGATTGAAATCAAGCAACTAAAAACAAACTTCTCCACCACTCCCCATTCCGCATCACCTAGTATTTGACCAAAAGGTGGAAAAAATAAAAAAATCCCTCTTGCTCATGGAAAAAGAAAAACAATGGTGACATAACTCCAAAGCATGATCAAAATGCCCTTTCTGGTTTATTCAGTGCTTCGCCTACTTTTTTAACATATACTGCTTCACTAAACCTGTTCAAAAAATGTTTATACCTCTCAGTTTTTAAAAGTAACTATATATTTATTTGGATTTGCTTGTTAACCGGTTGCCCAATGCCTTCCTCACACAAATCCCACACATCTATAATTATTCACAGAGACATGTTATTTACTTTCTACAGTATTATAGAATAAGTCATCATGACACAGTGTGTCTAGTTTGAACATGTCAAACTTATTCATTACCCAATACTCAACCGAGTACTCATGAAATCAATCGAGCATGTACAGAGATGCATTTGACATATGGATTTATGTTAGATGTAACTTCTCTATGGTCTTGTAAGAATGCACTTTTACTGCCCATCTGCCCCTAAATAATAAAAAAGTTGCTCTCTTTTTAAGAGGAAGCCAAAATAAGGTACATCATAAGAACCTTTCAGAGTATGGTGTGATATACAGACTTCAGAATCCAGAAAGGCGATAACATAACGAAGCGCTTTCTAGACAGTCGTTTACAGGTTCTTTGTTACTCAACACGAGAGCTGCAGCTGAACCCCGCACGGCCTATATCATGGTGGTCTGAAGACAGATGCCGATCTCTTCTTTTGGTCATTTATACATGGGCCAGCCGCATTAATAAACAATTGCATAACAATGGAGGGATATCCAGGGATTAGCTGAAAACTGGTACTAATACATGGGTGAGATCAGAAAAAATTTCAGACTGCACGTTGGTTTCGAGGGCAGGTTGTTATGTATTAAGTTTGTTTCGGAGAGACGGGATCCAACCAAAATACACAACGGTACTGCACGCTTCTGAAGTAGTTTGATTAAAGCTGATTTTGTGCCCACTGGAAGAATCGCGTATTAAAGGTATGCAGGGCACAAAAATTCAGTTTAAATGCTGCAGATTTTGTGCAAATGCAACTATAAAACATAACGTCTAAAAACAAAAGCTACTGCAATTCTTTACATCTACATGTACCGTTGTGAATCATTCATGGAGGCAAAGCATGTGCAGGCAAATCGTCCAGTAATAGCTCGGCCACCCAGTGAATGAAGAGGCGCTGTAGGTTATCTCATATGTCCGTACTGGATTACCAAAGCTGATTCGTAAAGCGAAGCGACATGACCATCTGGCCCGATCAATGAATCTCCTTACCGTGTCCTGTTCCGGAGAAATATCAGCTTTATCAGTGGGTGTGTGAAATTCACCAGACCATTCTTGGATATACTGGTGACCCTCAGCCTGTGGTCCAATATGTGCAAGTCCATATTCCTGGTTGCGAGCAGTTCCTCTCCACTGCTCTGTTTCTGCATGCGGCGGAGAAGACGCCTTCCTAGCTGGATGATATCATTCAAATGTTAAAGAGACATAGGTCATGAGTATTTCCGCCGACTAAAAAAACCCACGTCACGCTGGTGCTTCTCTCAGAAAAGAGAAAAACATGCGACGCAACCAGACGCCAGCCCCGCTTAACTACTGTATATTCAAATAAAGGGACAGCCCTAGAAAAGACACGCCCCCTCCTCTTAAAGCTACAGGTTTATGCCGATGCTTGGCACATGCACGCAGGGTGTGTATGTGAAACAAGCTGTGACAACTTCCGGTTTTGTTTTTAAAAATAAAAGCCATCAAATATTCTCATAATAGTTTCTGTTCATTTAGCGGATTTGAATGCACAACTAAAACAAAAGATTACAATAATTATAACTATTACTATTATTACAATTATTTACACTTTTTTCACAAGAGTGTAAACAAAACAATATCAGTATCATTTTAAATATAATTACTTGCTGCTTTCCACCCCTCCATCAACTACTCATGCTGAAATCTACCAAAGTTCTCTAATGACTCTGCCATAGCAGGCCTCATCAAAGTTGAGGATGACCCAGAGTACAGACAGTGGCCTGGTGCCAGCAGAATCATCTACTGATCAATGTAGGGAAAACCAAGGAGCTGATGATGGGTTTCAGATCAACCACACTAACACTAGTGAACATCCAGGGAACTAGCATTGAGATTATGGACTCTTATAAGTACCTGGGTGTACCCCTACCTGAACAATAATCTGGACTGGTGTCACAATGCTGATTCTCTTTACGGGAAAAGTCAGAGCAGACTACCTGCTGAGAAAAAAACTGAGATCTCTTAGAGTGCAGGGTGTGCTCCTGAAGAGCTTTTTTGACTCTTTGGTGGCATCATCCATCTTCTGTGGTGTTGTCTGTTGGAACAGCAACTTATCTACAGCTGGGAGGAAGTGGTTGGATAAGCTCATCGGGAAAGCCAGCTCTGTTCTAGGATGCCCCCTTGACCCAGTGCAGGTGGTAGGAGGCAGAAGAACTCTGGCCAAAATAAATCAATCTTGGGCAGTGTCTCCCACCCCATGTATGAATCTGTTGCAGAACTGGGGAGCTCCTTCAGTGACAGACTGCTGCATCCTAGCTGCACAAAGGAGCGTTATCACAGATCCTTCCTCCCAGCAGCTGTTAGACTTTGTATCCATCACTGATCCCAATGAACACAATAAGTTGTTTGCATCACTGCTGTTATTTGCACAGTTTTCCAATTTCCTGTAAATAGTCTCTCTTTGTTGTTTTTAAGCACTTTTCACAGCACTTTTTGTACTTCTGTAAAAGTAAAAAACAAAACAAACAAAAAAAACATCCTACTCAGCTGCACATTTCTTTGAGCCTGAGTATATTTTTAATAACTATACAGTATTTTTTTCTTACGTTGTAAATTTGCCCTGTGCTTTCCATTTCTTCGTTTTTATTTTATATTCTTTACTTTTGTGAGAATCTGTATCTGCCTGTCACTTTGGTGCTGAAACATGTGAATTTCCCCAATAAGGGACAATAAAGGATATTTCTATTTCTGTAACATTGCCCAAAGGTCAATGAAGACATGCTTGTTGAACCTGACCTCTGAGTAAAATTCTTGCGACCTTAATGGCCATAGACTACAGGTGAACTCACTGACTAGTTTCTTGATTGATCTTATCTTCATATTGTATTGATTTGATCTTATAAAGTTTTCATTTATCAGATAATTGCAGCTGTTACTTTCATAAACAGAAAAAAGTCAGTCATAAACTCACATTTCAGGATTAATCCAGCATGTAGAGAAGAATTACTCAAGATAAAGAGATGCAACTCTAATTAATGATGTTGCTCAGGGTGACATGGTTTTTATGACACTTACATAGCTAGGCTATGAAAAAAAAAAAGACTACAGTATGGTTTTGCATACTTTTGTTTTCCGTCATTCTAACGTTGAGTCTAAATATTACAAGAACCATATTTTGTGTAGGTCACCTATTATTTAAAAAAAAATCCCAGATTAATGTATTAATTTATGTAACATCTTTACACATTGACTTTAAATTATAATTGATTCTGCAAAATTGAAATGTACTTAATTTTCCAAGTACAATCAGTGAGGCAGGCTTTTGTTTTTATTTTTTTTTATCAAACGGTTGTTTTACATTCACTGTTGCAAATTAGCATCATCTCATTCATTTATTCAAGTCATTCATGTACATTTAATAGTACTATCATAAAAAATTTATTGTGGAAAAGAAAACAAACAAAAACCCCAATATGTGTTCTGTTACATCAATTAATGATCAAAACAGAGCAAACACACCTCACTTCACTCCACTAAATCAGAAGGTAAAAATTCCTCAATAACACCGTAACGCACAAACACTTTTTCTCTTGTGTTCCCCCCCCTTCACGTGTTTTATCTAAACCCCTGTAAATCTTGGTTTTTCATGTTCTTTATACTGAATGTGCTTGGAAATTGTACAACTACTTTTGACTTTGGCAATATCACAAACATGGAATCAGAAGTTTTACTTCAATGCTTTTAGTAACAACACAGATCATACAAAAGACATGGAAACTACAATTAGTAAGACCAAAAAGTTAAGTAAAATTTGGTCATTGAATTATTTGCAGTCTCAGTCGCTTTCTCATTGTAAAGGTGAACTCTTAGTTGGAATCATTATTCTTGACTCCATACTTTGTAACAAAGGCACTGAGGACAGACAGAAAGACACATGTTAGAAAATGATATACCGAAAATTACAATTGCAATAATAAACAAACAGGAAAGCAAACAACAAACATACAGCTCTTAAAATTCTTCAAGCTGGGCAGTATCATTTTATAATTTGATGCTCACACTGCTTAAGTCTCATATTACCATGGATGGCCAATAAATTAAGATTTTTAAAAAAAAATTATTATTATTACTGCAATCCTGTCATCTCCATCACTAACAACAATGGGGTAGGGGAGGCAGCATTATATAATGTTCTGATTTTGTGGCAAACATTTAAAGAAAACATTGAAGGTTTATTTTAGCCCTACTTCAAAGAAATACAGATTTCAGATCCAGTACAGAGACCACATTAAAACATTTCAGCAGAAAGTTGTTGGGAGGCATCTATGATTAAAAGAGTCTTGTGATCTACGAGTCTCAACTTTGCTGAATATAATTGCAGGTAAAAATAATCGGCGCGGTATAAAGCCCTGACAAAATCATTGGGTTTTTAAGGCATCTGGGTGAAGCATTTCTTTCTTACCTGTATAATACACGTTTACGTCCCATCCTTCTTTCCGCCAGGCAGAGTTTCTTGTCTCCTCTCGGGACTGGAGGCTCTCATAAGCTATGAAAAGACGGCAAAGAAAAAAAAAAATTCCAACGAAAAAAGCAAAGCAAAAAACCCCACCACACACACATATTACATCGCATTATGTGTGGATAAAATTGATAGTCACTGGCAACTTCATTAGTTACACCTTGCTAACATCAGGCCGAATCTCTTTCGCCATCAAAACTCAATTCTTAACTACACAGATAGTGCTGGAAGGTGCTGGAAACATTCCGATCCATTTTCACATACAGGTAAAAACATGTAGTTCGTGGGTCACATATGGGTCAATTTGATCAGAAATGTCAGACCAAAATTGAATGATAATGTAAAAAAAGCCACCCAAATATTTCTTCCCGTGTGTTTTGAATTTCAAGTATTAGTGCATTCTGTCTATCAGTGAATAAAACAGCCAAACATGTCATATGGAAAACATTTGCAATACAACAATATGTCTCAGTATTTCCTCATGCTATTGACCCTGTGCACGAGAAAATACTAACTTCCTGGTTTGAGACCGGATGTGGGGTTGTACATTTCCGGTAGCTTTACTTTGCGGTCAATCGCTACTGCGAAGATATACTCCAAAATCATGTCCAAAACTCGAAAAC